TTCTTCTAAATCTCTTTCTTTGTGACTATCCAATGGTTCTAACATGAATGGTGGTAATTCCTAAAATAAAATATATAAATAAATAAATATAATTATATATTATAATGTTAAAGAATTATAAATTAAAATCTTACATTCATTTGAATCCAATCTTTATAAACAGCTATAGCCTTTCTTATAGCACCAGCATGATTAAAGTCCAGCAAAAAGGCTTGCCTATATAATTCATGTACAAAATTCACATTATCTCTATTTCCATACAGAACTTCTCTAACAAGAGTAAATGCTGAAATAGTACTATCCTCTTGATTTTGATTTTCTTGATGAGATACATTTGATTCAGGTGATAATAAAGATGATTCAGCAACATTTTGAGTAACTGAAACTCGACGAAGTTCTGGCTCTGTATTTTCTTCATTTGGTGTTGTGCTAAAATAAAAATATTTGTATCAATTATGTTCATAAATTATTAATATATATTGATAAAATACCTATGTGAAAGGTGTGCGACACGAGCATCTTTCCTAGCGATATGAGTGAAACTAGCGATCCATTTAATCAAAGAAACTTTACATAATATATAATTATCCTGATTTTGATTCGTTGGTTTACGCATTGTAGGCAACTCTAAATTCGGTTTGTACAATGAGAAATTATCATCAAACTCAGGACAAATATGACGAAGGTATGTAGCTTTAAAACGTTCTAATAAAAATTGAAAAGTCTTGTGCTGTCGTGAAGATTTATCTCTCCATTCTATCTTTACAACCTGCACATTAAATAGAAATTTTCTCATTCTTTTCCTAACAACATTATATTGCATTCATTGTTATACAAAATATATAAATATACCTGAGTAACCATAAATTCAAGTAATGCTTCTAAAAATCGGACAGTCTCATTATCAAGAGGCTTTTCTCCACTTTGTGGAGGCAAAATAGGTCCACTGTCAACTGGAGTGACAGGACATTGGTTGGAACCATTGTCATGAAAAGTACTTTGTGATAATTGTGTATCATAAAATTCTTTCTTGTCTTTATCATCACAACCAATAAGATTTTTTGCAAGTTTATCTTTCTTTCCATCTATTTTACGTTCAGATTTATAAGGAGATGGTTGCTGGGGTGGAAATCCTGGTATCAAGCTTGCAAACATTTGATGAATATGATCAGGAGCATTTTCTCCAAGAGCTTGGTACCACAAAATAAAGTATCTAAAATTATAAAATTATAAATTTTAAGATATATTATATAAATTTTAAGATACATTATATAAAAGCACATTCTTTATGTAATAATATTATTACAAACATATACCTTATAGCTTCTCTTCGAAGTTTCCAACTATTACCAGGATGTAAAAGTTTTTGCAAAATTCTTGCTAAACTATGACATTGCCATCTTCTATTAAGAAGCTCAGGGAGAAGTGTTAAAACTTTTTCTAAGAGCTGCAATACTTGTTCCAATTCCTCTCTATGTGCTTTATGAACTATAAAAGAAATAATATATAATCAATATATGCATAATATTTAATTTCATAATTTCTTTTGAATAAATGAAAAGGAATAAACAAAAAGCATCAGTTTCATATAATTTTTGTGTATATACACATGTAATAATATATAATATTTAAATTAATACACTTAATCTGTAACATGCAAGGAACATATATTCATTCATTACTATTACTCACCAATATGGAAGGAAAGTTCTGACAGCAAAATAAAGAAAACAAGCAAATAGTAAGATAATAGTAATATTACAATTTTATAAATACTATATAAAATTAAATATTAATATTAAACATAATTATAATTTTATAAATAAAAATATTATTATTATTATATGTAAAATGCATTTATATATATTATTAAAACTTAAGATATATATATAATAGCAAATATTTTTACCTCGTTGCCGTAAATTTGTTTCAGCTGATACAAAACAATCATATAAAATAAAATAGACATGACTGAAGTTGCCTTCAAAAAACCCCTTTGCTTCATCAGTGTCCACATTTTCTATAAAATAATATCACAACTTTTTAATTGATTAAATAAAAATGTTATTTAATATATAAAAATATATAAAAAATTTTTCTAAAATTATAATATAATTATAATATAATTACAATATCTAAAATAACAATATTTTTTAATTAATATTCATTATTATTATAAAACAATAACATAATTACATTTTAATTAAAATATAATTACTATATCTAAAAAATCTTAATTATTTTTTCATAAATTTAATTTATAGAAACTATGAAACTCTTATTAC